TTTGTACGGCTCTCTATCACTGTGTGAATATATTTGTGCTGCTGATGTAGTGGTAACTCTCACAGTAGTAATCTCCTGCATCTTCAGCCTGGACTCCACTGATGGTCAGAGTGAAGTCAGTCCCAGATCCACTGCCACTGAATCGATCAGGAATCCCTGAGATACGCTGATTTACAAGCTTTATCAGGAGTTTATGTGCTTCTCCTGGCTTCTGGTTATACCAGGCCATTCTTTCACCATGACTGTCTTTATACACAGCAGTGCTGGTTCTACAGCTCAGGGTGACAGTGTCTCCTATGAGAGCAGATTTACCAGCAGGAGTCTGAGTCACAGTCACCTGTCCTGTGGAGTCTGAAATGAGAAACAGCAACACACAAATACTACGTAACCTGAAGATGCATTAAATAATATCAAAATTAGTCAGAAACAACTTTTATGTTCTATTCATACATTGTCTGGAGTATAATTTTGTTTTTCGTGTTTTCATGAATCTCACCCTGGATGCAGAAAGCGAGTGCCCAGATGAAGATGGTGATAAAAGTCATTGTTGCTGTGAGTTCTGTTGCCATGAAGGACAGCTCTCAGTCATCAAGTCTTAAACTCACAGGACTATAAACACTCCCAGAGCACTGAAGCATGTGCTGCCAATGCAAAGTGTCTTCTCTATGCAAATGGTCTTCCTGGGTACAGCAGGCACTTGCAGCCCAGCAGTGCTGTGGAGGCAGACTAGGGCTTATGGGCTGTGACACAGACAGAGCAGTTTAACACTGGTGTAACAGTGTCTGGACAGCAGGATCACAATCCAAACCAACATCATTCACATTTTGCCATCATATTCTGTTTTCATACACCCCTCCACTAACTATAGATGCAGCATTGGCCTTTGAGCAGGTGAAATTGCATGAAGAAACCTCGGGTTTTGCCTAATGTTAATGCTATGGGTTAAGTTAGTTATAAGTTAGTTATCCTCTATCACTACTGCACTGACAAGTAATGCATATTGTGATTGATTCCCATTGTATTAAATTACCAGTCAGGTCTGGCTTCTGCAGCCATTGCTGTTTCTGCACTGCAGTGAATGAGGCTTTTGCTGCTTTCCTACATAAACATGCTAAATTAACTGGATGTGATCTGAACATTATCCTGATTGGTAATAACTCAGTTTCATTTAAACTGGGTAATTCTGAGAGGGGAATAACCGAGCTCTGATCTGATGTGTTCCTGCTCAGGAGTGCCTCTCAGTGTAGGGTGAGAGTAACAAACAGTAATATAAAGAGTACTATAATGCATTTCCATTACTGCAAAGTAAGTTATACAGTCATTTAACACTTTACTTGTAAAAGCAATAATGAGTACTGTGTAATAAATTACAGCTTTTATGTGTATTTATGACATTAAATGAAACCCATTAAATTGTTTCATGGGTTTTTGAAGTACATTGGGTTGTTTCTCAAGAATTATTAGCCAAAAGGTTTGATTCAAGAATAGTGTCATTGAAGCATTTTTGCATTAGTGTTACATTTTCAAATTTATATGGTTGTCATTTATGAGAACTACAAAAGGAAATGAATAATAATTCCAGTAAAATTTGATGTCCCATTATGAACTTTTGTTCGTTTTTGTAAAAAATGTAACTTCCTTCTATATTCGTTACCAAGAGACTTTTACATTTTTATTCATGTGTATTATATTTTTCTAAACAGCCCATATGAACACCTTCATTTTAAAATTGCTTAATTTGGCCTCGAAATTAAATCATATACAAATACTGTACCATCATAAAGACCACTGTGCTGGAATGTGCTTCAACATCATAGAGTAAGTTAGACTGTTGTTGGTGCTCTTATAAAACTCTTGCTTGTTCAGCACTGTAAACTCTTACTATTTTTATTCTTTTAAATTTAGAACATAGAATTGGACAGAATTCACATCATTCTGTTTCCCAGGAACAGTCGTATGTTCAAGTGGTTTAGAATTTTCAGTATTTCAGCCTCTATGATGTCACAATAGGAATGTTCTTAAAATACAAACAGCTATCAATTAATATTTCATTTGGACTTGCCATTGATTGAAACTATATCTTACCAAAATGTACCAGTCACTTAGAAGAGTAGAGGACAATATTGTGTTCCACTATTTTCTTGGAGTTACATCCTTCAGACTTGTAAGTAGATACAGTACCTAAAGTTTTTCCTCAAATGCAGTGTCTCTTTGTCATTACTTCAAGTTAATTGATCAGTTCTGTGTTTGAATCTAACAGATAGGCTAAAGAAATAGCAGGAGTTTTAATCTTTACCTTAATATAGCTTGTTAAGAAGCCAGCTATGTAGGGTAACTCAAGTAAGGGTGTCATATCATATATGACAATGGTCAATATTGGTGCAAACTTTTTTTGGCTTAAGGTGCTCGTATTTCTATACTGAATTAATTTCACTACACAAGTAATTGTGATAAAAGTGGCATTATGAAATAAAAGTGTTATTGATAATTAAAACAGATTGCTCGAAATAAGCCATTTGGAAATAAAATGTATTAGTATAAAATAAAGATCAAATAATTCTTTCCTACATCATTACTGAGTAAAATTTAAACATGATCATGAAAATAGATCAGACCTAAACAGTGACTTGGCAGATTAGGCAGTGATTGACAATCAGGTACACAAATCACTCAATGACGTGCTCCAAATTCTTCAGAAACACGGACATGATGAACTACCCAAGGACTCACGGACACTTCACTCCACAAGTACTTGAACGCCAGGCAAGATGTAACGGCGAATACATTAATTATGGCTTATAAACTGGCATACGCAGCACGCTCCTGCAGTGCCCAGCCTCTACAGAACACATTCATGTCTGTATTAATATTGCAGGTGTACCGTTATTCAACTCTAGTGGTGCTCAGTTCTGGCCCATGTTGGCAAAAACTGATAGATTTGAGCCTTTCGTCGTCGGTCTTTTCGGTGGCATGACAAAAGCAGAACCACTGGAAGACGATGCCCAAGACTTAGTGGTAGATATTAGGAGGCTGGAGGAAAAACACAATGGAGGAGTCATACAGGCGCATTTAAAAGACTTTATATGTGATGCTCCTAAAAAACATCATCTACCACACTGGATACTACAGCTGTGAAAGGTGTGAAGAGGAAGGTGAATGGTTGGGAGAAGTAGTGTTCAACAGCAGGGATACATTCCCATGAAGGACAGATGAAAAGTTCAGCCAGATGGACTACAGAGTGAAACATCAGCATGGGGAGCCACCACTGATCAGAGCAGGCATCCCATGAGTCAGCTCATTTTCCCTGATTATACGCACCTTGTCTGCCTTGGAGTAGTGAGGCGCATCCTTGTGTTACTTGTGTCAGATCTCCAACCCTCACAGGCTCCCTCCTAGACAGACAGCTGAACTCTCCAATGGACTCCTTGGATTGAGGAATGCAATGCCCAGTGAGGTAGCAAGGAGGCCCAGATCACATGGACAGATGGAAAGCAGTTTCGGACAGTTTCTGCCATACACTTGACACTGTGGTGCTTCATGGGATTGTGGACCCAGAATTGTACCACCACTTCCTCTGGCTAACAGTTGGAATGTCGATCCTTCTTGCTGCAGATTGTGATTGGAGAAACCAATTTCTGCCATATGCAGCTGAGATCCTCAATCATTTCGTGGTCAACAGCACCGAGGTCTGTGGAGACAAATTCACTGTCTACGATGTGCGTCCTGTAAAACACCTCCATGAAGATGTTGCACATTTTCATTGTTTGTTGAATGATGTATCTGCTTTCCCGTTTGAGAACCATCTTCAAACCATCACAAAGCTTGAGAAGACCAGCCACAACCCTTCGGTCTAAGTGACAAAGCGTACGGCAGAGAAGGAGTGTGCACAAAAAATATGAAACAGAAGCAAAGGCCACTGCAGCCAGTGTCAGTAAAGTGGAGGGACGGCTGCTTTGTGCTCAAGGATGACAGTGTTGCCTTCGTGACTGAGAAAAGATCAGATGGAAAACTGGTCTGCAGCGTCATTCCAGATCGTTGAACCTCCAACCTCTTTGAGAAGCCCTGCCAGTCAAAACTCCTGAACATTGCTTTTGTTGGCAGTGTCCACAGCATGGCTAAAATACAGTTACTACAAAGCCAGAACTTGACAAGAAAAGTTAAATTTTTAATAATTAATTTAATTTAATTAGTAACCGCTTCACTGGCTGATTACATTTTAGAAGCTTCCTATAATTCTGCTTACAAGGTTTGTGTAATGTTTAAAATCAAGTTACCTGAATTGGTGTCAAATTGGTGTTGTACATAAATTTTCATAAATAAATTTGATTGCAGAATCATCCTCGGATGATAATGACCAGTTGGCCTGGAGTAGACGGCCACCAGATTCATCCTCAGAGGATGCTGAATGTGAAACTCCTGGTAGACATTGTTAGATACGTTGTGTAGCAATCATTACACTATTGCACTATTGTGATGGGATAAGCCGTGGAGGTTAATTAAACAATATCACACAAGAGGGAGCGCTGTTATACTGAATATCAGCATGACTGTGATTTGGTCGTAGATGCCGACGATAATCACAGCTGTGCTGATAAATGCAAGTAAACATAAGTGCCATGTTGGTGTTACAGGGCAGTCCAGCTATATAAGGGAGCGCTCCTCCTTTGATGGGTGTGAATGGGCTGAGGGATTGGCAGCAGATGGGCGTTTCTCCCCATGCTGTTTGACCCCCATACCCACACCAGCCGCGAAACACGGCATCTGCCCGTTTTCACTACTGACTTCATCCCCTTGTAACGGACCTGAACTTCTTCAAGAGAATTCAGCACTGAGACGCAAACTCCAAACGACTGTTCAGGAGCTGGAGTTGAATGACTTTGGTGAGGAAGGCCTTTTCAGCTGGTCTGGGGGAACGACGGTCGGTACATGATTGAGGGGTCATACATGATGGCCAAGAGCCTCACCAAAGTTCTACAATAAGGAAGGAGAGAAAGTTCTGCTGTCTCTAGGTGGGCTCGAATCACCAACCTTTTGGCCAACAGCCAAACACACTAGACCTATTGCACCACAGAGACAACGTTGCACTCCTTCTTCCGGCCTGAATTTAACAGAGTAACATATTGAGAGGGCCCTCAGCATGAAGAGGGTATAAAGGGTTAAGTGCATGTAATATAAATGAATTGTTTTGCTAAAGATGAGCCTGTGCAAACGTATGTGTACATCTGGTGGAAAAGTACTGGGGCAACTAGAAGAGATTGTGCAGAGGGCAAGTTGTTTTGCAAAACTGTACCACGGTTGTCTTGAGGAGAAGAACAGCAATTCAAAATTCAAGATTTCTTTATTGTCATTTTTCTTGCACTTACATACAATCCAAGAGCAACAGTGTACATAAATTAAAATAGAGAATTAAAAGAGCTTTTAGAAAAAGATATGTATAAAATATAAAAAATACAATAAGCAATAAACATATAAGCAACATGTAGCTATACACAATACACACGATACATACACACAATACAACCCAATACACATGGTGCACCAAGGAAAAAAAGAAAATTAGCAGTATATGTGGAGGGGAATAGCAGCATATACTGTAAATGACCTTTGTCTCTACATAAAGTGCATTATGCAGTGTGAAAATGGCACTAGTGGAGAGATGTGTCTGGTACTATGGGGAGTTAATGGTTTAGTGGTGGAGGGGGGTGCAAGAATGTTTATGATCCTCACAGCCTGGCGTATGACGCTGTTTAGAAACTTGCTGGTCCTGGTACGGATACTTCTGCACCTCTTCACAGATGGTAGGAGGGAAAACAGGCTGTGGGAGGGGTGGTTGGGTCCTTGGTGATGCTGGAGGCTCTGTGGGTGCAGCGCTGGTTGAAGATCTCCAGCAGGGAGGGGAGAGGGACACCAACGACCTTCCCAGCTGTTCTCACTGTCCTGCTCAGCTGTTTCTGTTTGGAGGTTTTGCACTTTCCGAACCAGGCAGTGATACAATAGGTCAGAACACTTTCAATGGTGCCCCTGGAGAAGGTGGTGAGGGCTGGAATGGGGAGACTGGCCTGTTGGGCCTTCTTGATGATGGTCATGGTGTTGGTGGTCGAGTTCAGGTCGCTTGCCATGTACACTCCCAGGAAATTGATGCTACCAACCCTCTCCACAATTGCAACATCTACAGTCAGCAGGGGTGGTGGTCTGTGCGGGCCTTCCTGAAGTCGATGACAATCTCCTTGGTCTTGTTAACATTCAGGGAGAGGTTGTGTCTGTTGCGCCACGTTGTCAGCTGCTCCACCTCCATCCTGTATGCTGACTCATCACCTTTGCTGATGAGACCCACAAATGTCGTGTCATCAGTGAACTTGATGATGTGGTTGTTGCTGAATCTGGCAGTACAGTCGTGGGTCAGCAGGGTGAACAGCAGGGGGCTCAGGACGTAGCCCTGGGGTGAGCCTGTGCTCACTGAGGTGGTACCTGATGTGTGGCTGCAGACTCTGACTGTCTGCTGCCTTTGAGTCAGGAAGTCCAGGATCCAGTTACAGGTGGAAGTATCCACATCCAGCTTCTCCACCAGTTGCTGTGGTATGATGGTATTGATAAATACATAAATCTGTTAAAGAGCAATCTGCATTTTCAAACTCCAATGCCCTGTCAGTCTCTCCCAAAATGAAGAGAGAGCCTCCATCTCTGATCAGCACTGTGGGCAGTTATGTAATTCTCTGTGGGGCTGTGGGACTCAGTAAGGACTGCCTGAAATACCAAAGTGTATTCTCCACTCCACTGTTATGACAGAGCAGATGAATATGGATTTGCAGAGTCTCCATCTTGTGGTCAGTATATGTAATGGCAGCTTGTATAATGTGTGTTGAAGGAACGACCTCTGGACTGTCCTGGACAGAGAGTTCACTGTTGCTTTCCACAGATATGTGATGTACAACAACAATACATTCAAAATATTATAATATAATACAAAATGGCATTTCACTGATTGATCGGGCAGATTTGAATTGTATACATTGTCATTTCAATTTGAAATAACTGTCATTCCCTCTCAAGGCTTGGATATCCTGACCTTAAATTCAGTCTTAGTATATATTTTTATTAGTTGCATGAGAGTTTATTGACCCATTGAAGCCCTCAGTGTCCCGGGTCAGTGCCTCCCCCCTCAGCACCTGCAGTAGGTCCCAGCTGCAGTCTCTGTGCAGTCTGACTGAGGGAGGTTTTTGTACGGCTCTCTATCACTGTGTGAACACATAGCTACTGCTGATTATATGGAAACTCTGACAGTAGTAATCTCCTGCATCTTCAGCCTGGACTCCACTGATGGTCAGAGTGAACTCACTCCCATAATAAGCTCTACTGCCAGTGAAGCGGGCAGGAATCCCTGAGCTACGCTGATCTGTTAAGTAGATCAGGAGTTTAATGCTGTCTTTAGCTTTCTGTTGATACCAGTTAAAAACATAGTTCCTTTGTCAGAGCTGTAATATACTTCAGGGCTGGGTTTACAGCTCAGAGTGATCGTCTCTCCTGGAACTGCAGTTTTCATTGCGGGAGTCTGAGTCAATGTCACCTGTCCTATGCATTCTGAAGGGAGGAATCAACAAACAACCACATTATCTATACTATAACCACGTCACATACATACTGAATATCACATACTGAATTAACCTGTGGCTTTCACATGGATAAATATTTCTCAGTGAAAGGTCATTTTTCATTTTACATGACATCTAAATTAAAATAGCATGAAAATGCAACAAAAAAATATCTGAGTACTCACCCTGACTGCAGAAAGCGAGTGCCCAGATGAAGATGGTGATAAAAGTCATTGTTTCTGTGGGTTCTGTTGCCATGAAGGACAGCTCTCAGTCATCAAGTGTTAAACTCACAGGACTATAAACACTCCCAGAGCACTGAAGCATGTGCTGCCAATGCAAAGTGTCTTCTGTATGCAAATGGTCTTCCTGGGTACATCAGGTAGTTGTAGCCCAGCCACTGTCTCTCTGATGCCAAATGCAGATTTTTCCTTTCAGAGTGTTCCAGAATAATCCATCTTAAGTGATTTTAAAGTGATTTGCCCATTGTGTTTGACCACCTCCTCCAATTGGCCCATTGTGTGTGACCACCTACTGCCATTGGCCCGCTGTGTGTGACCACCTACTGCCATTGGCACGCTGACTGTGACCACCGTCTGCCATTTGCCTGTTGTGTGTGAACACATCCTCCCATTGCTTTGTTGTTTGTGACTACCTACTCCCATTGGAATGTTGTGTGTGACCACCTTCTCCCATTGGCCTATTGTGTTTGACCACCTCCTCCCATTGGCCCACTATGTGTAACCACCTCCTCCCATTGGCCCATTGTGTGTGACCACCTCCTCCCATTGGCCCTGTGGTGGCTCATCCTGACAAATATGTGAATATCTCAGTGATGCCACAGGCAAGTGTTTTCACTCAAAGAGACCCAGAATCTTTCTAACAGAGCCAACATTTCAAATCTCACAGGATTAAATATTCACCAAATTACATGAATATGTGTGCACATACCTCTGTGATCTTACTTTTGAATTCTACATCATTTCAAGAAAGGTTATTCTTATGAGGTTGAATTTTTCCTGTGAAGATGATTATTTTATGTAATGGCAATGTATTTTTATTTATGTCAGTTCATTAACAAATTGAGAATAACTTTTAGGTTTTACTCCATATTTGTATAATCGTAAGAGTATGTTTGCCTGGGTCTTCTGAATCCAGTGAGGTGCAAACATTGGATATACTATGCAGGTACAACAGACTGTAAGTTCCCAAATAAAAGGAGTACAAATAAAACTACATTTAGAGTTTCAGAAGAAACTTTGAGTTTGCATGTGATTGCACTGTATTTATGCATTGTCATGTGTGGTGCTGTATGATAAGGTGTAAAACAGGTCCACCACACAGAAAGAAAAATATGATAGACTATGATGAGCATTCACTGCAAGGTAAAAGTGAGCAGTGCATAAGTGTGGTCATGGTTCATTTAGTGGGTAAGCTACAGCATGGGTAAGTAGCATAAATCAGGTAAAGGTTTACTGGATGATGATGATGATGATGATGATGATGAAAATTATTATTATGATTATTATTATTGCTGTTGGTAATGATACTGGTATTTGTTTATAAAGGATATACGTTTATTATTATATCGCTATATTTATGATTATTATTTCATCATCATTGTGAATGTGTAATTATCCACAGGGCATAACTGTAGTAATAATATTACTGGTCAATCTTGTTGTGCTTCACCATACCTGTATTAATATATTGTCATTCTGCTATAAGTCGTAACTTAGAATACCAAAGCTAACACAGCAAAACCAGAGCATCCATGTAAGAAAACCTTAGTAACCACCTATCATGCCATAGAAACTGCCCAGCAATATCCTTAGAACCACATAGAACGCCATTGCAAAGGTATTTCTTGGGGGTTGCTATGGTGTTTTAGGTGGTTGCTAGGGTGTTGCTAGGAGGTTGTTATGGTGTTCTAAGTGGTTTTTAGGGTGTTGCTAGGCAACAACTTTGAACACCATAGAAACCACCAAGCAACACCATAGCAACCACCTAAAACACCATAGCAACCACTTAGAATATCATAGCTAGTGTCTAGCAACACCATAACAACTACGTAGAACACCATAGCAATGCCATATCAACCACATAGCAACACATTCGTAACCACCTATCATGCCATAGCAACTGCCTAACAACATCATAACAACCATTTAGAATGCCATTGCAAAGGTTTTTCTAGGTGGTTGGTATGGTGTTTCAGGTGGGTGCTAGGGTGTTGCTGGGAGTTTGCTATGGTGTCCTTAGTGCTTTTTAGGGTGTTGTATTTGGTGTGAGAGCTTCTGGAACTGATAACTGAACCGCTGGAGCAGAACCCCTCATTGTCCCGGGTCAGTGCCTCCCCCCTCAGCACCTGCAGTAGGTCCCAGCTGCAGCAGTGCAGTCTCTGTGCAGTCTGACAAAGGGAGGTTTTTGTACGGCTCTCTATCACTGTGTGAACACCCTGCTACTGCTGATGTAGTGGTAACTCT